CTCTCTCTCTCTCTCTCTCCCTCCTTTAGCCTCACACCCCGCGAGTTCAACTCCTATGGGGCCCGCCGGGGCAACGACGCTGTCATGACGCGAGGCACCTTTGCCAACATCAAGCTTTTAAATAAATTCATCGGCAAGCCGGCTCCTAAAACAATCCACTTCCCAACAGGACAGACGGTGAGGATGTAGCTTCCCAGGAAATCCTCCTCGGTTATCTAACCCCTGTGAATATCTCGTGACCCGGCTCTTTGTTCTTAATTGCAGCTGGACGTGTTTGATGCCGCCGAGTTATATCGGAAAGAAAACATCCCTCTGATTATCTTAGCCGGCAAGAAATACGGATTGGGCAGCTCAAGGGACTGGGCTGCCAAAGGGCCCTTTTTATTGGTATTCCATTTTTTATTCCAATCCTCGTCATTATGTCCCGGAAGCCTTCATTAACTTCAACCTGCTTGATTCCTTTGGAGAAACTGCTGTCTTTCATTTTGCAGAAGAGAAATTGCTCCTCTCTCTCTCTCTCTTTCTCTCCCTCTCTCTCTCTGTCTCTCTCCCTCTCTCCTGAACATGTACAAACTCATTTATATCAAATTTGGAGTCTGTCGTTATACACGGTGGCTCAGTAGCTAAGATGCTGAGTTTGTCGATCAGAAGGTCAGCAGTTCAAATCCCTACTGCCGTGTAACGAAGTGAGCTCCCGTGACTTGTCCCGGCTTCTGCCAACCTAGCAGTTTGAAAGCGTGTAAGAAAAGCAAGTAGAAAAATAGGCACCACTTTTGCTGAGAAGGAAACAGCGTTCCATGCGTTTAGTCATGCCGGCCACATGACCACGGGGATGTCTTCGGACAGCGCTGGTTCTTTGTCTTTGAAAAAGAGATGAGCATCGCCCCCTAGAGTCGGGAACGACTAGCACATATGTGCGAGGGGAACCTTTACCTTTACATCTTATAAGTAGCCTGTACAAATTGGAACCCCACTTAAAAAAAACATAGTCTGAATTCATGTCTTAATGTAAATATTGTACATAATTGTTTTTGGGCCAGATAATCCTAGTTAGGTTAGGGTTAAGGTTAAGGTTAGGCTGTAACTATTGCTGCATTTATAGTTTATTGCGATTGGAATATATGCAATTGTAACTATCTCTTTCCTCTCTTTCTTTGAAACATAGTTGCTTATAGTTTGGAGTCTAGTACAGTGCCAGGGCCTGTACGTGGTGGCACAGTGGCTAAGATGCTGAACTTGTCAATCAGAAAGGTCCGCAGTTCAGCGGTTTGAATCCCTAGTGCCGCATAACAAAGTGAGCTCCCATTACTTGCCCCAGCTCCTGCCAACCTAGCAGTTCGAAAGCACGTAAAAATGCAAGTAGAAAAATAGGAACCACCTTTGGTGGGAAGGTAACAGTGTTCCATGCGCCTTCGGCGTTGAGTCATGCTNCGGCTCAAGGTTGACTCAGCCTTCCATCCTTCCGAGGTGGGTGAAATGAGGACCCAGACTGTGGGGGCGATATGCTGACACTGTAAACCACTTAGGGCGGAAAGCCCTATGAAGCGGTATATAAGTCTAACTGCTATTGCTAACTGCTAAAGTGGCCAAGAATTCCTCCTATCTTAAAGTGGCCAAGAATTCTGGGAGTTGAAGTCCACCTATCTTAAAAATGGCCTGAGGTTGAGAAACACTGCTCTAGAATGTAGATTTTCCGATTTGAGTAAAATAGATGCAGGAAGCGAGTTCTTCTTAAGGTGGTCCTTCTACTTTATGACCGAACGTTGGGAATTGGCCATTAACTGCTGCTCCAAATCCCATGATAGCCGAAGTAGGTGGTGCAGATTTTCCAATCCAAAAGAAACCGTTTGTGATCTTTCCATTTTTGTTTAAGGGTGTTTTGACTGTGTGACATCAAAACCTGTAGGGGTCCAGGTGCTCTGGTGCCTCCCTCCTTAACTTCCCAACAGTTGGGAACGGGTGGCTGACTCTGCCCCCACTCTTTGACCCACCTAGGTTGGCTTCAGAGGCTTTCAGATTCCTGCCGAAAAGCAGTGCCGCATCGTTCCCGTCGAATATGAAGGCAACGAGTACCAGCTGGCTCATGGGTCGGTAGTCATTGCTGCTGTCATCAGCTGCACCAACAACTGCAACCCCTCTGCGATGCTCGGAGCAGGTACAGAGCCTCCTCTCCAACCTACTACATCAGTGGTTCCCAAACTTGGCAACTTTAAGACTTTAAGCTGGCTGGAGAATTCTGGGAGTTGAAGTCCACAAGTCTTAAAGTTGCCAAGTTTGGGAACCACTGTACTACCATCATGCTGCGAGGCAGGTGGTCCTCGACGTGCGACCACGACCGGGAGCAGAATTTCCGTTGCTAAGCACGGCGGCGGTTTAAGGGAGTCCCGCCCTGAATCGATGACCTTCCTGGCCACAGCGGCTGAGCGAATTGTGACCGTTGTTAAGCAGGTCCAGCTACCCCCTGTGGCTTTGCTTGTGGGAAGCCGACGGGGGGATGGTCACAAATGGCGACCCTGGGATAAAACACACGTGACTGCGGGGATGCTGTGGTGGTTGTAAATGCGAGGATTGGTCACAAGTGTGAGGACCAGTCATCCTTCATTTGCAAATGGAAAAAAAAAGAAAAGGCAACCATTGGCCTTGTTGTAACAGCGTCTTTCCTTTCCCCATTAGGTTTATTGGCTAAAAAGGCCAGTGAAGCTGGTCTGACTGTGAAACCGTACATAAGAACCAGCCTGTCTCCGGGGAGTGGAATGGTCACCCATTATCTCAGTTCCAGCGGCGTATTACCATATCTCAATAAACTTGGGTACTACTTCCTTTGCTCTTTAAGTTTACTTTATTGTCATCGCACCTCATAACAATGAAATTAAATGTCATCTTCAGTGTACATCATACGTAAGAAAACTATAAGAGCCGAGGTGGCGCAGTGGTTAAATGCAGCACTGCAGGCTACTTCAGCTGACTGCAGTTCTGCAGTTCGGCTGTTCAAATCTCACCGGNGAACCGCTGAACTGCAGATAACAGTCAGCTGAAGTGGCCTTCAGTACTGCACCCTAACCACTGCGCCACCTCGGCACACAGTGGGGCACACAGATGCTCATCTGCCACTTCTGCAGCCGGATTCCAAATAGCTCAAGGCCCACTTGTGGTTCACAGCCCAGAAGTTCGTCATCTCATTTTTTTGACAACCACTTTCGTCAATCAATTGTATGTTACCTAAAGATAATTTATTTGACTCAGGTCTCATGATTCTGGTCCCAACTAGTATTCAGTTATTGCAATTATTCCCAATTCTAATATAGTGGAAGATCAAGAGGTGTAGAAAGCAGTTTGTTTAGACATTTTTTTTTCCTTAGCAAAGCAGACAAATGTTTTAAAGCCAACTCTAGTCTTCTGTGATTTGTAACCAAATGTACTCAGGTATTGAATTCCCAAATGGTAGACTTCCTGGTCAGTATTTGGCAGCAACACTTTGAAAGTAGAGTCCACCAATATCTTACCTGTGGCCAACCAAGGCATAAACTCTTACTGCTTATTTTAAGCATATAAATTTCATATAATTTATAGTTATATGAATATAAATTAAACATATAAATTGTTTTTAAGTCAAAATAAAGAAATAACACCCTTATTTGGAGAAAGGACCCTAAAAAGACTTTCTATTGCATAATAGTAGGTTTATTTTGCAAACTGAGAAATTGTGAGGTTATGATTATCATACTAATAAGTGATTAGACTAACACCTTTTAATCCTTCAGTTTATTTATTTGATTTTTCTGTTTTCATTATGGTATTTTTATTCTGTCTGGTCTTAATGTATTGTAAACTTGTCAGAGTCAGTGTGGAGTCGGGCAGTGTTTAAATTGGAAAAAAAAATTAATCTGACAAGTATGGATAATCTGTCAATGGATGATGCCGTGTGAAGCTGCTCTCCAGCTGTAGCTTCTAGCATTTTGGGGAATAGAGATGATGCTATCTTGTTCATACATTGCCAATTATATTATTCCCCAGCCAGAAAATTCTTGTGTTTATTATAATGGTCCTTCCGAGATTGCTGGGAGACTTGGCAGCTGAGAGTTTTCATAGGAATTTCTTTAAGGCAGGCTCACACGGAACATGTTACAAAATTCTTAGTTGCAATTAAGCTTGTCATAGTTAAGCTGCCATCACAGAACTAGGAACTGTGATGTAAAAGAAACCTGTAACTGTGGTGTCTGCTGACTTCCATATTCCCCTCATCGGATTTTCATATTTCCCCCCAAAGATACATTCAGAAAAGGTAAATGATTCTGAAAGTTGACATAAATTGTATAAAGGAAGGATGAAGACTCCCTCACATTAAGCTTAATTTTTCTTCACAACAATATAGAACTAATTTGTCACTGTCTTTCCCCCCCCCTCAGGAAACCAGGAATTAAGGATCATAGTTGGCATCAACATTATTATAGTGTGTTGTTTCTAAAAGCTTCACACAAAGACATTTTTAAAACCTGGCACAGTTTCCTCTAGGAAAGAATGAAAAGTGAAATCAAGCTTGGCCCATGGAATGAAATCTAGCTTTCATTTTTGGAGGGAAAAGTATGAGTTCATTCCACCAAGACCAGGGGTGGATTTCTCGCCCCGTTCCAACTGGTTCGGTTGGAATGGGGCCGGCGGTGTCCTCGTGCACATGCGCGGCGCACGCATGCATATTAGCGTCTGTGCGATGCTCCAGCTGCTCCTGGAGGATCGCGCAGGTGCTGTATGCGTCCTGCGCATGCGTGGAAGCACAGAACTCGTCAAAACCGGGTAAGGAGCGCAGGCGGGCAGGTGGGCCCTTCGCCGTTCCCGGAAGTTACTTACTTCCAGGTTCGCCGATCAACCGGTTCGCAGGGACCGCCGCGAACCGGTTGAAACCCACCCCTGACCAAGACATACTGTAGTTTCTTATAGTGGCACACAGAACACTTCCACTTTGGAGATTTTA